CCTGAAAGCCCTCCCCATGCCTTTTAATGAATTTTTAATAGTGATTGCTTTTTTGAAATTGTCTCTGTGTGTATTGTTTTGTGTGGTTTTTAACAATTTGTTTTAACTAGAGTCCCTCTGTGATGAAGATGGGAGATTTTAAAATTTGATAAATAAATTTATTGAATACACTGTTAACCTGCTGTTTGGCAAAAAGATTTCTCGGGTAATATAAAAAATCCATGTTGATTTTTTCCATAAACACAAAAAAATAGTTAGGAAATCATTAAGATGTTAGACTGAGAAACCCTGGTTGAAGACCAACCTTAAATAAGACAGCTTATTGGATGACTTTAGCCAATTGCCATTTGTCAGCTCAGTCTACTTTGCCAATGGCTGTTAGAAAAGATAGGGAGTTGAACTAATGAAGTAATATAACTCTTACAAATAAATTAATACATAAATAAAGCAAATGCCAGCATAATTCCTTAGTTATGCAATTTATAATGAAACTGCTAGGATGAAAGTGTTATGTTATATACGCATGTTGCTTTCTGGACTTGAAGAACCATAAAGATTTCCAAGATGGAACATGGGTCAGCTGAATTGGAATATCATATGTTGGTAATATTTATTACACTACAAGATCTTTTAAAAAGAGAATAAGCAAAAGCTGTACTGTATATTTCTTTAGAAACAGCATATATTGCCAATATCAGAGTTATAATGTGCTTTAGGTTCAATATCAAAAAGCTGCTTCAAGTTGCAAAACTAGTGTCTATCTAGTATTTTCCTGGGATTGTACATTTGTCCTCTACAGTTGTGTGATTCTAGAAAAAAAAGACATGGCAGCTTTAACCTAACATTTCAAAGAGAGTGGGGTTTATATGAGATTATGGTTAGTTATAGTGCTCCTCCCCACTGCCTACACCTAACTTTGCCATCTTTTTCCTCCTCCTGCTTCTGGCCCAGTATCCAGATGTTTGGCAAGGGTCCAGGCCTGGGATGTACACAGTGAGCATGACAGGGCAGCATAGCTTTGCCTGCAAAGGGAGCTTGCCAGACCGAGCTGTGGAAGAAGCATTGAGGCAAACAGTGGGATCCCCATTGGTGGGAGAAGGTGGAGAGCTGCTAGCAGATCCCCAGGCAAAGTTGGAGTTTTGTGTGGGAAGTGCTGTTCTGGATGGTGGCTTAACTGGAGGAAGTTAGAGGGATACAGACTTCTGAAGGCACATTCTGCAGCTCATGTTGGAAGCACTTCTAGGAAGCCTTGTCCTGAAAGTGCCTCTGGCAAAGCCTCACAAATAGTGGCTTTGCAGGAGGCACTTCCAGAGGCAAGGCTTTGCAAGAGAAGCTGTACAGGAACTCAGAGGCTGCTTTTTGATTTTTTGATATATTTTTTTTGCAGCAAAGGCTAGCCCAGCCTCATCCAAGAGTGCAAACACAAAGGAATTTTTTTGTGCATCATGGCTCTGGAGCTGCCTTAGGCTTTTTTTCCCCACAGCCCAGCAGTCAGGCCCAAAATACCTTGTCAGTAGTGAGAACAAATTCTGTGACATCATGACAAATACAAGTGTTCTTCCCTGACATTTGCAGATAAATAAAATAATGGTGCTGCTTCCATACGGACACTAGCACTACCAAGTAGCTATACTGGCAGATTATCTCAATATGTGGAATTGATGAAGGAGGAGGTCATGCAACTCATTTAATATAGTAGGCAGTGGATACTTGTCCCTGATTAAAATTAATGGTATTTCTTAAGTAGAACTGTTTGATGCATAAATAATATTAGATATGGGACAAAGGTTAGGATGCTTTATTTTAATAAATGATCCTTTCAGTCAAAGTCAGAGAGTACTTTGTGTGGAAATTTGTGCCCCATAGTTTATTGAAAGAAGCAGATGGTCTCTGGTTCCAGTACTAAAGAGATTGAAGCTATTATTTTGTCAGCAAACCATGGAAAACAGCAACAGCTGTCAAATTGCAGGCTTATTTGAGGGTAGGGAAGCTGGCAGAAGCAACAGATGAACTGTCCTTGGTACAGTAGGTGGGAATTGCAGTTCAGTAGGAATTACTTTTGAATGGGTACTTGAGAGTAATTTTAATAATGTAGCAGCTTGAGCAGATCATTCAAAGAAAAATATAAATCTCTGTACTTTGTAAATCAAAGTCTAGATAGTATTTTTTTAAAGTAAGGGATAAAAAGTTAGGAAACACAAATAACATCTCTGCAATTTGAATACATTTTAAGAAGGTTGAAGAAAGTTATGTTATTGGTATGTTTGAAATATTTCCAAAATGAAAGCTAGTGAATTGAAAATTCATTGGCTATGCACTACTGGTAGAAATTCTTCTAATAATTTGTTAATAAACTGGGACCAAGAACTTTGCTCTCCTGAAGCACAAATTATTTATTATGTGTATAGGTAGCAAGTAATAAAATGTTAGTGATTTGAACTCAACACCTAACCCTGGTTACTTGCACCTGATGTTAATAAATTCAAAAGAAACAATCTGTCAAGGTTATAAATGAGTTACTTACTAAAATTATACTAATTGTGGTAATATTCAAGTTACATAAAATATACCTATGTAGCAGAAACGTGAACTGTGAATGTCTGGCAGATTAATGTGCACAAAATCTAGCTGTATGCAATGTAATAAATAGCAATTCATCTATAAGTAGCATCTGAGCATAGGTCAGATCTAAGCAAATAGGATAACTGCTGATCAGACAGGATATAAATCTTATTTTAATGTCTTTATCAATGGAACAATTAACAAGTACATATTCTATGGTTCCCATCTCTCCAGAATCACGGGGGCAGAGCCTTTCACCCAATGCCACCTTTTTGTTCTGACCTAGGCTTCCCCAGAAAGCATTAATCAGACTCTTTGTCCTGGCAAAACCCCTTTTATTAAACGAAGTTGAATTTCTTGCATTCATATTCAGCCAAAGGCCTGGGAAACAGTCTTTCAAGGTGTAATTAAGAGCACAGACCTTATCTAGTTTGGAGAGCTACCAAGTAAATATTTTCAACCACAGTGCTGATGACAGACTTGGCAAAGAGTCTCTGTGATACACAGACAGATCTTCACATGGCTGCAATGAATGAATTGTTTCCTGCAAAAGCCCCCTCCCTTTTTGTTCCTCTTTTAAACCCTATGGGAGGGGCCATTCACTGTCCACCTGCAGCTTTATTCCCTCATCAACCCTTAGTTCGTAATTGTTCTTTTCTTTTGGCAGCTCTGTGCATGCACAGGCTGGGAACCGGCTCCAGCTGCTCCCCCGTCTCACTGCTGTCCGACTCCACAGGCAGTTGATCATTGCCAAACTGCCCTGACCCCATCTCTGCCTCTGACGCAGAGCCCTCGAGGGTCTGAGCCTTCTTCAGCCTCCAGGACTGGCCCATGTTCCCCCCCAAAGTCCTCACTGTCCGAATCTGCTGCCAACTCTGCTAGCTGCCGGCCGTCCACAACACTTTTAGATTTGTCATTCAAAACTTCAGAAGAACAACATGACATTGGATGAGGGTGAAAGCTTTCCTATGGCTTTGTGAGCTAGCTAGCAGAAATGACTATTACTTAGTCTTTGCTGATGATAGTAAGGCATAGGAACTGGAGCCCAAAAGCACTGTGTGCAGAGAATGTCATTGAATTCTGTGGAGTTCAGATAATCGGTTTTGTGAATTATCCCCTGGAAATAGTCTAGAACAGAAGTGTCAAACTCAAAGCCCAGGGACCTGATCCAGCCCACGGGGTGCTTAGATCTGGCCCACGGGACCGCCCTGGAAACAATGAAGGATTGACCCACGGTGCCTCTGCCAGTGAAATGGGAGCTCAGGAGGGCTACATGTGGCCCTCCTCAGCTCCGCTTTCGCTGGCAGAGGCTTGCAGGAGGCCCTCTTAGCCAAAAATGGAGCTCAGGTGCCCATTTTCACAGACAGAGCACTTGGGCTGCCCCCAACATGAATGATGTCGAGTTGGCCACAACCATCCCGTGTCTCCCCCACCCCCCCCGAGGTCAAACACAATCCTGATGCAGTCCTCAATGAAAGTTTGACACCGCTGGTCTAGAAGGATACCGTGGTCCATAGTTTTAAACTATCTTGTTTCATTGAGTGAATGACAGCAAACTCTGAAGTGGGAAAGAGATAGAAAATGTATCTATCAAGGTTGGGTCATCAATGTTTTTCATATGTAATGATGGAAGGCTCCCAATTAATAGCTATACTATGCTGCCAAAAAGATAGTGAACAGGCTGTGTCTCCAAACACAAGCCTCTTTTCCACTGATAAAATCAGTTCAAAGCTAGTAATTATTTATCATAAGCAAATGGGAGAAATTCTGGAGGGCAGAAATAGTATCATCTTAGAAGTAAGGTTTCCAAGATGCTACTGGAATTATCTCTTCAGAAAGAAGAAGAACCACTGTAATGGCCCTCACTTCAGTCCCTTAGAGATACTATTGATACTATGGTCAATGATATTGAATGTTGCTAGGAAAACAAGAAGGATCGGGAGGGTTCCAATTCCCTAAGTCTCCCTACAGGTTATCCAAGACCACAATCAAGGCAATTTCTGTGTTGTGAAGGCCCCTTGACATCTTGAAACTTCTCATTGTGGAATTGTGATGGATATTCAGATAGCATTCTTTGAACAATAATAAAGGAATATGAGTAATTCAAATAACTGCACTGTTACATTTTTTGTGACAATTATTTAGTAATAATATTTCCTCAACTTTAGTTTAAGAAAAACCATATAATGTTTACCTTTAAATCCATATACTGGGTGAGTATCCTGGGGAAAAGTAACGATGGAATACCATAATTTAAAAGATTATTTGTATGTTACCTATTCCAAGGATGGATCCATAAAGACATAGAGGTGATTTGATGTTTTAAAGAAAAAAGTATGATGAACTTAGTGACTCAACAATGAAATTTTTTATATAATGGCTTAAGTAAGAATATTTTTTATATAAGCTGGTATCTATATTTCCATTTTTTTTTCCAGAAATGTTCTCATTGCCAGGAACCAGGAGCCACCTTAGGCTGCTACAACAAAGGCTGCTCCTTCCGGTATCATTATCCATGTGCCATTGATGCAGGTAAAAAAAATGAAGTTACTGATATGAATAGAGAGAGAGACTGAGACTAAAAGTTGTTTGCTGCTAAAGTGACACAGAATGACTTACAAGGACAAAAATAAAGAACATAGCAGGTTATATAAAGAACATTGTATGTTATATAACAAATTACAAATATTTATGAAAAATTGTTTATTTTAAGGTATTACTTAAAATAGAACAGCAAAGATTAAATGTGACAGTATTTCATACAGGGCTTCTTCCAAATACTTTTAAAGGCAGAACTTTGAGATTCTTATGTGCCTTTCCCCTTCTTCATAGTAAAAAGTGAGCTAAATTATATTTTTGTATTAGTATTTTAATCATAAGGACATTTGTCCTATCAGACATAAAACTGTATCCCCAAACTATATATGGATTTTTTAGATTCTTACCCAACTTGTATATATGATTGGAACCAGTAGTGGTTTTCAAATAATCTTACCACCAGTTTGCTGAAGATGTAAATGCATGTGCGCAGCTTCCATGATTGTGCACGGCTTCGCCATGCGGTACAGCTTCCATACATGCGTGCAGCTTCCACCGTGCGGCAAAGCTCAACCAAGCAGCCTTTCAGGGACTGCTCCCCTCCATCTCTGCTCTCTGGGGCAGTGGTTTCTCTCCGCTGCTGCTCGTGCTGGGAGAGCAGACTGCAATTTAGCAGCTGTGAGCCCTCTTTGGATCCTCTAAGTCCAATCCAGCAAGTGCTGTGGCACAGAGAAGCAACAGCCATGTTAAATGTTGTTTCTCTCAGCCGCAGCGCTTTCCAGATGGGACAGAGGACCCAAAGCGATGGCTAATAGCTGCTAAATTGCAGTCTGCTTTCCCAGCAAGAGCAGCAGCAGAGACAAGTTTTCGCTTCCCTGGAGAACACATGGAGCGTTTCCACGAGTGACCAAGACTCAGCAAGGGACAGAAGAAGCGGCTGCAAGATCTATGCTGCAGCGCTTTCCGGACGGATCTTCTTAAAGGTAAGAAGAACCATCCGGTCTGTTCCCGAACTACTTCGACCCTCATGCCCGCCCGCCCCCCCCATCGGCCCTTCAGCCTAGTATGGCAGGCCACAGGCCGAATAAATTGCTTCAGCCTGGGGAGGCATAGTTTGAGGTTAGAGGGGGGTGGCAGCATGCGGGCAGAGGTTCCAGGGCAAGCCTGGAGCTGGGGAATGGCGCTTCCCTTGACCCAGCCTAGGCAAAGGACGATTGGGCGAAGGCACCATGGCAAGGCCAGATCTGGGGAATGGTGCGTCCCTGCGCCCTGACCCAAGGTGAAGGACAAGCAGGCAGCATGCTTACTTTTGGTGAGCAGAGCAGGTGAGGCATGGAGATTAGCTGGACTGTATGCCGAAGGCAAGATATATAGGGTGGGGCAGGGCAGGTGGGGCCAGCTGGTGGTGCGATTTTCCTACCAGTTCTATGAGAGAGCACTTCGCCTGCACATGCACTGCTCAACCACCCTCTTGCAGCACTGGTGAGGTGAGCTGTTTTTTTAGCTCAGCTGAGGCACGGCAATCCACTCTGCCACGCGAATCAGCTGAGCTAAAAAACAAGGGAAGGGAATATAGGAGAAGAAATGGCGGGGCTGGGGCCAGCTAGAGGTGGTATTTGCCGGTTCCGCTACTGGTACGCCAGAACCGATCTGAACTGGCTGAATACCACCTCTGATTAGAACATTAAATAGTTGATGAAATCTATTCCGAATTGCTATCTGCATTAACTACTATATATTTATTAAGTTTATGTATTGCTTTTTCTCCAAGAGCCTGCAGTTTACATATCTCTCCTTCCAGTTTTATTCCCATAAGAATCCTCTGAGCTAGATTGGACTGAGAGACAGAAATTGGCCCAAGATCACTATTTCCACAACTGAAGTTGACTTAAACCTGAAACTCACCAATCCTAATTTTTCCACATCACAACCAGCATACTGAAATCTGGAATTAATGATACACAAATTACTTCATTTGCAGAGAAGATTTAGTAGGATAATTGTGTTTTGAATACAGACAGTTACAATGCAGAGGAATTAAAACATTTAATTATTTTAGAAATTTTGTTTGGAAAGTTGGTGTAGGAAGGAATGAGGTTTAACAGTAATTGGTTTTTCTAGAGTCTTAAACTGGCAAAGATATCCTTGCTTTGTTAAAAATTAGGAAATGCTGTTTTAAAAATAGGTGTTTTTAAACATTACATGCTAGCCTGTAGCAGGTTTTTTTACCTTGATTCATCGTTAAACTTTTTCTACTGACTATTAATTATTACTCATTTATTAAAAAGTGAGAGCCTTAATTCAAGTAAGTAATTGCTGCTAATTGGAAAGTCATCATAATTCTAGGGGGAAAAAGGGTTTCCTAGAAAAGTTAAAGTTTTTAAAGGAAAGTATTTATTAAAAGAAAAAATGTGTACTGAAATTGCAAACAATCAGGGTAGGAAAAAGGTTCCGATAATGGCTTGTTCACTGGCATTTTTAAAATTATATTTGAACTACAAAGACAGTTGAGCTAATTAGATGTATTTTATAATTGTCCATGTTGGGAAGATACTTCAGTTTCCATCACTTCTTAATTTATAATAATATTCTGAGGAATCTAATAAATATTTTTTTTAAATTCAGTTCAGTGAAAACTCTTTATGTGTACAATATCATTTAGTATCTCTAAAATTATGTTTTGAAATTGGCTACCAACTGAAAAAAAATGTATATCAATAAACGACATTTTTTTCTTTTGCACTCTTTCTTTATATAGCATTTCTTCTTTGCAAGGTTCATACTGACATATAATTTCTTCAAAAGATTCCAACAGCAGTAAAGTATAATTAAATCACATAATTAAACGTGATATAGCACATGCAGTTTTTTTAAATCACCATGAAAATTGCCTGGTGGTTGTAAGGTTCTGCAAGGACTGTATCCATTGGTGTCCAAAAGACTACTAACATTAGATTCTCCTCAGCCCAGAGAACAGCTGGAAAAAAATTATACACAAATCCTTAAAGCTTGAACTGAAAGTGTATTTTGAGAAAAGAACGCCTAGGATATTCATTTTTTATTGTTGAATGTGTGAGCTTAGAACCTGACTATTAAGAAAACCCTCTGTAACAACACTGGGGGGCAGAGGGAGGGAGAGCTATTTATAAAGTTCGGTTTGACCTAATGACTTATATTTAAAGGGGAGACTCGGTGAATTACTGTCTGAGTTCACAATAATGCTTAGCCAAGTTTTTTTTTTTAAGTTTAAATAGGCTGCAATGGTTGGTTTGCACATTAAAGCTAAGTTATGGGTTAGTTCATGTACTATACCAAGCCAAAAATAAAATCAAACTGTGATTCAGAATTGTGTATGAACCAGTCTAGTCAGTTACATATTGGTTAACATAATTAGCTTGAATGAATGCTTACCATGATTTTAGAGATGCATATTTCCCCTCTAGATGTTACTTTTTATTATGCTGCAGTCATTTTATAGGTGAAGAAAAACATTCAATGCCATTGTTAAGTGTTCCTTTAAGATTTCTTGTGAAATTGTTGTGAAATTGCAGGTTCCATTTGATCTTAGACATACTCTGATATTTTGTATTTATGTTTTCTTCTAGATTGTTTACTAAATGAAGATAATTTCTCAGTGAGGTGCCCCAAGCACAAGGTAACTAAATTGTACTTGGTGTTGCCCTTTCTTGGATTCAGAATTAAATGGTGTTGCCTCATAATGCTGGCTAAAAATATACTTCCATAATGTTACTTGCATTTCGGTCTCCATATACAGTATTTTCTAAACAATAAGAATTTGAAAGTGGAATTTGAATGGAATTACTTTCTTTTTGTTCTTTGAACAGAACACCAAGCTTGCTTAATAATGTAATATAAAATATATACTCAGAATTTTTTTCCTTATCTCAGAAGATAGATTTGTTGAGGACCTGCTTTCTGTCATGGTGAATGAAATCTATAATATTATGAGAGAATTAACTTAATTGGCCAAGTTGAGAGCTCATGTATATGATTTAAAAAACATTTGACTTACATTAACTCTTATAAAACTACCATTGTTATACAAAATTGATAATTTTCCAATAAGAATGAAATTTATGAAGCAACATTCGTATACTTCAGGGTAAATTAGAATATACTGTAACATAGGTTTTCTTAAAACTTGTACAAAATTCATTTAATTATTGATGTTGGTGTTGAAAAAACACTTTCCATTTGCAAATTTATATCATTTCACTGAGTAGTTCTAAAAATTTTACTCCGTACTTTAAAAACCAAATCTACATCATAATTCTATATATGAATTATTTGTTGCAGTAAGACTGCATTTTCTAATTTTGCAGTGTTTTGCTAAGTTATACAGGATACTCAATGCCTTATCTCTACTCTACTCTATGCAGTAGCTTGTAAACTTATAGTGTCTTTGTTTGTTAAAGATCTGATCAGAATTTGAAATTTGCATTCATTTTCACTAATTTGTTTGAAAATGTTTGTTTAGCAATAGCAATAAGCCCTATATACCACTTCACAGTGCTTTCCAGCCCTCTCTAAGCAGTTTACAGTGTCAGCATATTGGCTCTCAACAATCTGGGTCCTCATTTTACTGACCTCAGAAGGATGGAAGGCTGAGTCAAGCTTGAGCCTGGTGAGATTCAATCTGCCAAACTGCTGGCAGCTGGTGATCAGCAGAAGTAACCTGCAGTACTGCACTCTAAGCGCTGCACTCATTTCACTAATTTGTTTGAAAAAATAAGACATTGTCTCTCGGTTACTGGTTTTTTTTGGTTTTTTTGCCAGGTCACTGGGGTTTTTTGCCCAGTATTGATGCTTGCTTTTTTCTGGTTTTAGTCATGAAATACTCAGGGAACCCATTTTGTTCCAGTGGAATGCTAAAGTATTTGTGCTTTTTTACAAGAATGTCCTATTGCCAAAAGGCTTCCTGCTTTAAAATGCAAACGAGGGTGGATATAATTCAAAATAACTGAGAGGGAGAAGATTATTATTTAAAGGTTTTTGTCATAAATGAATTACCCACAAAATGAAACTATTTCTAATTTTATGTGGCTGAATTAAATAGCAAAATTGAAGACTTTGTTCTTGAGGCAAGCAAAAAATCATTTCAGAATATTCAGGAGGAAGTTATTAAAAATGGAGCTTCAGTGTCTGATTTGTGACACTGCATTAAAGTTTGTTGTTGGAAGTTTTGAGACTGTGCAGTCAGTTCAAGAACATCGCTAAAATATCTTCTTTTTATTTCAATTTTAATCTTTACTGAAATAATGTATTATAATTCCACGATTTTATGGTATGAAATCCTGCACCTATCAAAATAAAAACACTAGCAAAATAAAAATAAATATTGCTTGATTCTCAAAAATACCAAATGCTGACTTGCAGACATCTTGTCTGAAAAATCTGTATTTTATTACTAAAACTAATAGTGCTACTGATGCTGCTTTATCTCTTTCATGCTCTCTATATTCCTTTTCTCTTTCTCTTTCTCATCTTACCCTGGTCTATTGGACAACAGCCCCCCCCTCCTTGCTCTCTTCCCCCCATGCAGAACAAGATGGTGAAAGGCAGCTTCAGCACAGAGCAGTCGGAGAGGGGGTGAGGGGGGAAGTGTGTTCGTGGGAATGAAAATAAAGGCAAGCACAGGTGAGTGGAGGGAAAGACAGAGTTGCCCCTCCTACCTTCTCTCCAGTTTAAGGGAGAAACAGACTTTTATTTTAACTTGCAGTTTATTTCTTTATGGTGCTGGTCTTATCGAATTATTTCATAACGAACAGTTGTATTTATTAGTGCGGGACAAAAGTGAAGCGACTTTGCTTCAGTATCCTGAACTATTTGCTTTTGGGGATTGGGGTCTGTCAGCACAAATAATTGTTTATCATACAGCTATTTGAAGAATACATTGTAGATTTGAGAAAACATCAAATCTTCTGCTTTTTTAATTGACAGAAAACCAAGCAATTTCAACAAGGTAGTCCATGCAGTTCAATAGTACTTGAGTTATAGAAAGGTAACTTAGCTAATTGTTGATAACTGGATATTTAGGAAGCAGCCTTTATAATCTGTCAGAGTTTTATGTTCTGGACTTGAATCCTTGTCAAAAGGAGGAAGAAGGCTGGTGAAGATCGCTCAGAATCTGAGTTTTAGCTGAGTTTTTTTGCCCCCCTTCAAAGAGATCTATTACTGTTACTACTACTATTACTGTTCTGTAGAAACAACCCCTGAAAAGAGAGGAGAGGTGGGCAGGGCTCCAGATATTACTTTTACTTAAAATTTTGTTCTACTAAATATTAATGTCACATGGATGGGATTTAAATAATTTATATCTCTTCCAAGAGTTTGTCTGTACTTAGAAAAGACTGGGAATAAAGGCATGCAATCATCTTTCACAATGGTTTTTGATTTAGCTTAGTAAACCCAGAAGCTGTACTTTTTTATGGATAGTTTAGTACTGACTTCTTACTCTTTTTTTATCCACGCAATAGTAAAAATGTAGCTGTCTCCCAGTTAAATCATCACTGAAGTTTTCTTTCTTCAGTAAAAGAGTCATTATAATAGACTGCCATCTGCCAGGCTGCATCTACTGATATACCATAGTCTGTCCAGCTGGAAGTCCATAGTCCTCTTACCTGTGATTTCTTTCCTTAGCCCAGCTGTAAGAAAACTAAAAAGGAAAGTGTTTTACCACCTCCTGGCAGAGTCCAGAAATGCAAAACCTAACAAACCATGCATCAATCCTGAAATACAAAGATTAGTTATGTGACTTTGCAATATTGCATGTAAAAGTTTTAATTAAATATTTCCTTCTGAAATGGATGATGCCAAGTCTAGATACAAGATATTAGATATAGGTATAAAAAGGAGTTAATTGAGAATATAAGGAAAGCAAGAAAAAGCAATAGTCTTTCTCATACAAACATACACTAACAAACCTCCAAATCAAAATAATCCAGCCTAGGTCATGTATTTATTTATTACTCCTTGTACTTAGTTCATTGCATTGTAAAAAAGGTAGTTGGGAAGAGAGCATCTGAATCTTCTGCTTATGTGTTTGTAAATAGCTTCTCTCCTCCTCTTCCTCCTCCTCCTCCTCCTCCTAATCCTATGAGCACTTTACAAATCTGTGGATTTTGAAGAGACTGTTACATTGTCCGGTTAATAATAGCACTCTTATGTGTCTTGCTTTGATCATCAAATTAGAAATTATCTACCTTAAATCTGCCCTCCCGAGAATTATAAAGGTACAGTCCAGTTTTCACAGATTCTGCCTTTATATGAATGGGATTATATGGGAGAGGCTGGGGAAGCAGAAACTGAATTCCATCTATTCAAGTCTCTTGGCATGGGAATAATTAATCAGATGCTTTGAAAGAATCTATAGTTTTATATCAGGATTAAGTGTTTTTTTCCCACAGTAAATAGACAGCTAAGTTGGAAAGCTAGTACAAGAAATGGGTTTTGATTCATGATACATACATACTGTTAGTGGGTTTCTTCATTTTAACTTCATTTCTAATGCAAATTGGTATGTTTCATTCTTTGGAAGCTTTGGTAATTGAACTTTTGAAATGTTAAAATCTTATATTGCAGACATTCATTGGTTTTTAGCAGCAGCAGAGAAATAAGAGTAGCATTTTTGTAATTTATTTAGATATAATAACTCAAGTCTAATAACAACATTTGCACACATATTTTTTGTTTCCCCTCTTCCAATTCTGGATTAAATTCCTGGCTTCCAAACAGCTCTCACAAACAATAGGAATAGGAAACGAGTAAACTGCTAAAAAATGCTATGTGCACAACCTGAAAAAAAATAATTAGTGGAAATATTATATTTCCAATCCTTTGTGTCTGAATATTTCTAGTTGTGATTCATTGTTCATATCTTCTGTTTTAAAGTACCCTGAAAGTACATTGATTCCAGTTTAGCACACAGGAGAATTAATTTTAAAATACACAGTTTCCTGGATATGCAATATGATTATGTTAATAAATGCATTAAAACTTTAGTTACATTTTTATTTTAACTTGGTATCCTCCAGTTTTGAGTTTTTATTCTCATTCAGCTCTCAGCAGAAAATTGAGAGGATACTATGTAGAGAAGATTGATTTAGTTGATGCTTGAAGTTAAATTGGATAATGTACTTGTAGATTAGTTTGTAGGGGATCTTGGATCAGCTTTCCTAAGCCTGGTGCCTTCATGATAGGTAGGAAAGCTAACTAGGGAATGATAGACATTGTAATCAAAATATCTAGAATGTTACATAGGATTGAATTAAACAGGCATTAAATAATTGTGTGGTTTGCTCATATAGTTATTGCATATAATCGAGCTCCTGCAAAGAGAGATCTCCTCCCCAATTGGGCCTGGTAAACCCCTTTGGCAGACAAGGGGTATGCCAGCCTGCTATGTTTTCCACATAAATCCTAATACTACATTCTTGCCCAATGCCTGGATCCCAGACGAACAGCAGGAGGAAAAAAATGGGAAGCTAGGGAAGCAGTGGGGGGTGGGGTGGGAAGGAAGAGGTATGTGTCAGAATGCAGGGTGGTCAAAAGCAGGGGTCTCCAACCTTGGCAACTTTAAGACTTGTGGACTTCAGCTCCCAGAATTCCTCAGCCAGCAATTCTGGGAGTTGAAGTCCACAAGTGTTAAAGTTACCAAGGTTGGAGACCCCTGGTCAAAAGGACAGAAATGGAGGGGGAGATAGGTAGGTGAAGGGAGTTGAAATACTCTTGTGGTCGTAAGTCTGAGCAGGTTGCCAAGCATGCACATTTTGATTGCCTGACTGCAGAGTACTGCAGTAGCTAGAACTTGCAAGACCAGTTTTAGCTATCATTTGTTTAGCACTGCCATAATTTCAAATGTTTGCTGAACAAATGGCCATTGGAGTGAGGACTCCCTGTAATGATTTGTATTTGATTTAGTACACGGGTATTTAGCTGTGCGTATGTGCCCTATAAAAGCAGTACTTAAGAACTGGTTAGGGGTGAAGTCCTGATGCAATAAAATGAAAATGAAACATGAATGGGGCTACTGATCTGAACTGGATTCAAGAATGGAAAAAGAGAACAGTGAAAATGTGTATTTCACATCTCTTGTACTTTAACTGGTTATTATACTTCTGTTTTTATATTCTGAATTATATCAGAAAATAACAGAAAAATCAATAACTAATTATGAATGCCAGTCATTTTCTTATTTTATTTTGTTTGAAATCATTACAATTTTGCTTGGCTTCAATAATCAGCTTTTTCAACTGGAGAAATATATTTGCTCAGGAGTGAGTTTTTGATATGTAAAAGGTCTGGACATTACTGAGAAAGACAGTCAAGAATAAGTATTAAATAAATAATCATAAGAGAAGTATGATGAATTGATTTGGTCAGAGAAGGAATGATTATTGAATTGCAAAACAAATATATGCAGGAAAAGTAAAAAGACTGAGAGGAAAGAGAAGACCAAGAGAATTGTTATTGGATTGATCCGATGAAGTCCTCAAAAGAAGAGAGGTGAGAAGAATACAAAGCATATAAATTAATATATTGAGTTGGTCAAAGACATGAAGGAATAGAGTTATAAAGAGATCTGGTGAATGAAGTTGATATAAATCAATTTTATATATATTTCCTTTGTTTTTCGCATACTTTTAGCTTCTTTTGCTAACTACTCCTCACTTTTTTTCCCCTGCATTTTGATAACATACAACATTTATGTTCTCAACAAACTTCACAGGATCACTTATATACAAATGTATACACATGTTTCTATCCCAATCAGCATATCTCTGACCTCAGCACCATCTCTCTAATTTATTGATCTAAAGATATATAAACAACTAAGGGGGAGAATAACAAATTCTTAACTTGAATAATTTGCTAAGTATTCAATTTATTCTCATAAAGGTAAATATTAGCTCACGATTGACATGGTGCTCTCTGTTTTCTTGCAGACATTTCATTACCCAAACTACGTAACATCATCAGTTACTAGCACTTGTGATGTTATCTAGTTTGGGTAATGAAACTTCTGCAAGAAAACAAGCAAGCTCAGAGAATGCCAAAGACCCTTCAATTTATTCTCACACACCTTTACCCACAATACTGGCACAAACATTTCATAATTCAAATTAATTACTAATTTAACTCTTCGATCAACAACCTTACAGTAAATGTTCTTTCTCCTCTGTACATTTCTCAATTACTGCTAAAAGGCAGAAATCTGACATGCAGCATTTGAGGTCAAGCTGCACTTCTAGCTTATTGTTGTTTTCCTCATTCTCTCAATCACAATTCTGCCAAGCTCTTCTCAGGTACATTTAGCAAATGAATTCTCATATAGCTTTTGTCTTGTTTTTTCTGTATATGAGACAACAATAAGAGCATATTACTGTCAGAGAGCACTTTTATTTCTTTTTGCCCACGTCCAATTTTTTATTTCTATTGCAACAATTCCATTTTCTATGCTTTTTAACATTCATCTCCCCTTTCCTCTGACTACATTTTTACAGCAGTCTTTTCCTCTCTTCTTTATCCCTTCACTTTTCCAGTCTATTCATATTCTCACCTATGTAATTCCACCAAGCATGGTTTTTTTTTTATTTTTCCCATTACAGTAACTTCACAGGTTTCTGTGACTCTGATTTCATATATAGTAGTTAGTCACCTTTTTCATCCCAGCCAACCTCACAGCATTGTTGTGAGAAAAAGTTGAGGCATACCTGCTTATGCTCCTGGATGAAAGGCGGGATACTACTCAAATCATCATTTTTGCTGTATTCCAAACAGTTTCCAAAAGTGCCTTCTTATATTCACTTTCCTTTCAGCTAATTGAACGATTAATTTTTTTTCTAATAATTTTCCATGCAGGTCTTATACTATCAATATTATATTTTCATTGTTTTTCACCCTCATTTACTTTTGAAAGTATGAAATAAAGCTCTGTGTCGCATTCAGATTTTTTTTCACCACTCTTGTATCCTTCACTAATTGTTCCAGTCTTTTATCTTAAATCAATCATAATCAGGTCAATATTCTCTATTCAGAATGTTGAGCAGATATTTTTCCCCCCAAATCATCGATGGTTCTTTGATTATCACCTTACACTGGAGCATTTTTTAACATGTTTTCAGAGTGAAACTTCTACCTCAGCTTGTGGCTTGTATTCAATTCCCTGCTATGGGATCAGACTATCTTCGTTTATTATACGCTTCCCCTTTCTCTAATAATTTATTCACATTTCTTTCATAGTCTTTGCCAGATTCAATTTGATGATCTGAATCAAAAAAGAGCCTATGGAATATTGGGCTACACTATCCAACAAGATTTTTTTGGTCAGATAAAGACAGGGAAACTAGTTTACCAATCCTAATCATACCAATGCCACATGCAATAAACAGAGCCAAAGCACAGCTTTTCCCCATGCTTGAGTTACTCTAGGATAGTAACTCCTAGGATATCAAATCTAAAGACTACCTTACAAATTACTATTCTGTTATCTTGCCTCCTGCCAACTAGGGAAATATGTATAATGAACCAACACAGGATCCAGTAACTGAATGATTATGCTACCTCAGTTGAGTTTTAATTTCTTGTTAACTATATGAGAGGCAGAAGGATGAAAGGAGATAGCTTCTTTCCCTAGTGCTTTTTTGAAGATCTGTGAAAATGTGGCTCTTCAGAAAAACACTTGGGGATTCTTTTCCCTAAATGGTGACATATTAGGGCATTGCTGTTAGTTTTTAATTCAATGTTACCATTTTACAACATTTTTTAAAGAAACCCAAGAATAAGTATACAAAGAAACAATGTGGAAAAGAAAGGGAAAACCCAATAGTAAACCTTGAGTTTAAAAAAAAAACCATTGTGGAAAAACATTAATGATGTATCCTCCCCTTCTCATTTATTTCCTTAACCACTAACCACAACCTAAATATTTGTACTTTATGCATTGAATAATTGAACATTACTGTCATTATCTGTTTAAGTCATTTCAACTACAAGTAGTCCTTGACTTACAACCATTTATTTAGTGACCATTCAAAGTTACAACAGCACTGAAAAAAATGACTTACAACCACTTTTCACACTTTCATAGCATCCCCAAGGTCATATGATCAAAATTTGGATACTTTGCAACCGGCATGTACTGTATTTATGATGGTTGCAGTGTCCTGGAGTCATGAAATCACTATTTATTACATTCCAAGATAACTTCCAACGAAGTCAGTGGGGGGAACTAGATTTGCTTAAAGACTTCAGATGCAGTGACTGAACAACTGTGACAGTTGTTCAGTTGTAACTGAGGCACAACTCATAACAACCACCTTGCTTAGCAATGGAATTCTGACCCCAATTATGGTCATAAATCAAGGACTTTATTACTTTTAATTGGTCTCATGAGTCTTTTCCTAAAACCCATATTCCAAATATCTGAATTTGTCTTGATATGTGAAGTGCAGTATTTAAGAGAGCTATTCCTGCTTGAATTGTTAAACTTTTATTAAGGCGATACACTGATTATTTTGCCATTTTACTCTTTCGATTTTGTATCGTAGCCAGAGTTTCTTTTTTTTTTCTTATGCCAAACTATGGTATTTTATGGTATTCTTAACAAACTATGGTATTTTTCACCTATGTTTTCTGAAATTATACTTAATAAAAGGGTTACACACACACACACACACATCCTAATAGGTGATTTAAAAAAATACATTATTGGAGCTAGTTGCATTATTCAGAAATATAATTATATTAAGCTAAAGGAAGAAATATTGTCATTAATGGGATATATAATACCTGTAAATGTTAGTAATGCTGTGTTTTTCTCTCTTACAGGTTAGGCTGTTGAGATAAAAGCGATGGACATTCAAGATTAGATCATTTGTTTCCCAGTGTGCAGTCATGTCCCTCTTGACAAGCCTACCAATGCCAGCACTTCCTCCATCAATTCTTTCATCACATTTGATTGACAACATCACAGAATATGATCTAGGAGTCTGAACCAGCTATTTTCATGGACACACTCTTCATAGTGACTATGGGTAGGGGAGGGAGAAGAAGAGAAAGTGGGAGAATTAAAGAGGGAGGGATAAAATATATATATAGATAAATATATATATATATTAAAAATCTATTTTTAGTCTTGATAGACTTGTTTTAAATGAAAGGTGCGCTATCCCTTTTTATGCATTAAATTCCATTTTTAGGACCCACATAGGTATGAAATTGCTCATAAACGTGTATTAACTAGAAGTCAGAAAAGGCCTTTACAATGTAATCACTTTTTCTTTTGGAAGGAGTGTTGGAGTTAATGAGCTTTCTTAATCAAACTTGTTTCTCTGCTCCATTTTCCACAATAGAAGATCCAGGTTTTAAAGAATACAAGTTTTTTGTTGCTGGCAAAATTGTCTGCAGGGATGAGAGTGGGGATGAATGGTTGCTGGGTGCTTGTATTTGTGTACGTGTGAATAGCATTTTTTTTTCTTAAAAAAAAAAGAAAAGAAAAACACTATTTATTTTTATTAAGAAAAGCCTGAGAAGCATCAGAAGACTATTATGTCATGTGGTTTGTGAAATAAAGAGTGTCTTCTACTTGCTTCATATTCAGATACTTTAACCTTATATACATAACTTTGTACCAAAAGGTGGGAGATTGGGGCCATTGTTGGCCACTGACAAATATTCCCAAATCATTCCAAGGAATTGCTGCCTTTTTTGGAGGCAGTCTATGAGGCTTGCCTACTAGAAAGGGGCATTCAACAGATGTTTGAATGTTGATATAATCAGTGTGTGTTAAGCTGTCCAGGAAAATTCAGTTAGCTCTTCTCTTCTTTTGTTACCCAAAAGGAGGAAGGGGGAATGTCAATTTAGCAGCCTACACCACATGGTTATTTTTTCTTCGTTTGTACATTGTGTAATTGTAAACATTTGAGTTTTAGAAAACAAAACTTTTTTCTCTTGTTAAGGCCTTAAGAAGGGGTTAGTGCATCTTTCACGGATCACTCTGCCATGGGAATAAAATAGCTGTTTCACAAACAGTTTTATATATATATATATATATTAAAAAAAACTAAAAGGAAAAACCCACAAAAAACCTAATAAACTTCATTTTAACCTAATTTTATCTGTGAAATTTAATGTATTTCACTTCTTTGTGAACAAGCCATTTTTCCACAGTTGCTGTTTATAATTTAAATTACTAGCTTTACTTCTCAGATTTAAAATGAGTCCCCATGCTTCTTTGGGGATGGATTGAAGACAGACTCTACATTGATGCCAATAAACTTCTGATTTCTTTTATTTAAAATACAGGTGGGGAAACATTCCTGTCTGGTTTTCAAGTGTCCTTTTCTTAGTCACAACTAAAGTGCAAGCCAATGTGTCATAATGGTTAGAGCGTTGGACTAAGATTGGGCAGATGAGTGTTCTAATCCCTGTCATGAAGCTCATTAGATGATTTAGGGCTGTCTTTATTTCTCTGTCTAATCAACCTCACAGGATTAGTAAAGGGAAGCTAAGGATATTGCCTTGAGTTCTGGGAGACTTTGAAAAATATAAATGTTTCCTATACACAACTTTTAAAAAAAGTGTCCATTCATAGCTATTGTCAGTGTTTCAAGGCTGCATGATTCCAAGAGGCAGATACAGCTAGAGAGAAAAGTATTAACCTGCATATACTGTAATCTCTGCCCAAAATTCATAATTTAACTTTTTTCTTGGTTTTAAAAGCTGTTTGTTGCCCCAGATTCTGTTATATATTTCTAAAAAAGATTTTTTTTAATTTTCTTCTACAGAAAGTAGGCCAAGCATCACACTTGGCTTTTGAGTGGTACTACTAAATAAAGCAGTGTGCGGAACCAAAACAAAACTGAATTAAATTTTGGTTCATTTAATTAACATTAGATATAGTTAATACAGTTTTTCCTCCAAGCATGTATTTAATAATGTTCATATTTTTAACTGTAATTTACATTTGCAGTTTTTTTAAAAAAAAAACTTTTAAAAATATCTGTGGAATTATTTATCTGAGGTTTTCAGGAACCAAATAATTGGTTTCTCATTCATCTACTTTTATCCACGCAGTATGTTATAAACTTTTACCATCTTCTTCCTTTACTTCCTTTATATACATTCTAATTGCAAGTAATTGCATTTTGCCAAAGTTCCACTAAGGGCAATAAGAAAAATAGTCTGTGAAAAGACAAGAGCCACTAGTTAAGTCAACAAGCAATTTAGGATTCAAGGATTTTATTACATTAGGATCCTAGTGGATTCACTGAAAATGAATAGATTTTGGACCAATTTCGAATACAGAATATATTCACAAAAAAAAAAAATCATAAACCCTCTGGAAACTTTGAAAGAATAACATGTTTTGCAACAAGTAGCAAGTTAATAAAGCTTAATATGTAACAATTTTGACTCTTAAAATACAAAATTTCAAACATTTGTCTCCCTGTGGAAGAAAAAAAATTAATGTATTTTTCTTAAAAACTGATTTAAGAAACATTTGTATTTTAAAATGTTTGAAGTAAAATTTACCATTCAGCAAAAAAGGATTTTATTCCTATTTTTATCCCCTATATTGGTCTCAAATACCAAAGCCTATTTATATATTTATTATATTTATATATAAATATTATATTTAGTAATAATACTTTCCAATCATGTTTGTAGGTTTGGTGCCAAAAGGTTTAGGCAACGTATACTTACAGTGGAATAGTCCCAATTTGTTTAGTTTGTTCAGATTTAAGAAAGAGCTATACTGATTGTGGGACGGAATACACAAATTTGGAAGAAACATTGAATTAGCTATCAGTTAAGTACTCATTCTGATATTTCAAAGTTTGGAATAAAAATATTCAATAGTATCTTCAAGGCGCCACCTCAATATTTAGATTGTAAACTGGACAGGAAACTGGCATTCATTTGCTATATAAATTAATATTAGTGTATTGTATCGTGATGAAATCAACATCATCAATGCACTGCCCTCTGAACCAACAGAAAAGTTTCATCTTTGATTTTTTTTCACTTGTCTATTTGAATAGCTTATCTGCTTACTCTTCTCCAAGCTAAAAATATATCCAGCATTCAACATGGCTCAGATTACTTACTCTGGTTGCCTATCTCTGGATATGCCCTGTTTAATACCCTTAAAATATTGCACCAGTACATGGACCTTGATAAGCACATGGATGTATTACTATGAATGAACCTTCCCCCTAATCTTCAATAAGACAAATGTGGGTTTTTGCCTTGAAAGATGTTTGAAAATCAAAGGTAATACAAAATGCAATAGTGTACATACACTTTGGAGATCACATTGCTGTGGAATTGAAAACAATTTCACTAGCTTCCTATTTGTTTCTGAGCACAAATCAAATCTGTCTGACAAACCCTGAACAGTTCAAAGTTAAGAAATCTGAAAGTGCCTTTTTCACATTAAATTGCTATTAAGAGCAGCAATTTTATTATACGTTTGGTAATAATACTCCAATTATGGAGTATTCAAAGGGTGGTAAAGTTGTTCTATACTGCCAGACTCTAGAGTGTTGCTTTCCCATTCTATTGTTTTTGGTTTCTTGATATGATTTCTAAATGTAATAAAATTATTAAAAGGTGTTCAACACATGGTGTAGAAAAAATAGCCCTGCAGGACTCAGTCTGAAGACCACCTTCCAAGTTGACACAACACCATTAACAGATATAGACAGTCCTTGACTTATAACCACAATAGAGTCCAAAATTTCTGTTGCTAGGTGTGACAGTTGAGTTTTGCCCCATTTTGTGACCTTTCTTGTCACAGTTATTAAGTGAATCACAGTTTTAAGTTGGTAATACGGTTGTTAAGTGAATCTTACTTCCCTGTTGACTTTGCTTGTCAGAAGGTTGCAAAAGGTGATCCCATGACCCTGGGATACTAAAACCATAAATACATCAAATGTCTGAATTTTGATCATGTAACCATGGGGATGCTGCAAAAGTCATAAATGTGAAAAATGGTCATAAGTCACTTTTTTCATTGTAATTTTGAATAGTCAATAAATGTAAATTACAAAAAAATGTAAATTGAAAACTACCTATGCTCGTGGAATATTAACAAGGAGAGATGCTATCCGGTATGTTGCTGCAAGCTATATCATTTTTCCATTTGCCTTTTATTTATTATCATTTATTTGTTTATTGCTTTGTAGCTTAAAGCTACCTGTGCCATTTTCATCACGTCTACCTTCAGAGTTAGTCCTGCCTTGCATTTAGGGATAGCTGAGGTTTATTGCCCAAATAACAGGACCAAATGGAAATCATGAATTGTTCAACCATTTCCCCCCCCAGCTGTTCTTATTTTATATTGAATTTTATTTTATATGTCATCATCTCTTATATAGACGCTGTTGCCCAAACCAAGCTGCTTAAAGAAAAGCTTGTGTTGTACAGAATAAAAGCAGGGAAGGGTAAAAGGAAAGTATATTTAAATATTAAATACTAGAAATAGGATGTTTTGAACTAGATAGCCACTTGCTGTTCTAATGACACTTTTATTGGTAATCACTGTCAATAAAGAAAGGGTCTGCTGGGCTTGAAATAGATAATCTTGCGCCTATTAATTGATTAACACATGTAAGGTTAAAAAAATTAGAGAAGACACTTCATGATTATATTGGTGTGAAATGTAGAGTAATGACTGCATTTATGCAGTTTTCTTCGCAGTGTTAATACCGTCAGGCTTTTTTTCTCAATGTTTTCAACTTCCCAGTTGAAAAAGCTAGTTAAAAGACCTGGGATTCCCAAGCAGTCCTTCACCCATATTCTAATACCAGGTATCACTTGGACCATCTTCCGAGATAAAATCAGCTAACTTCTGCCACCTGTTGAAACATGCCAGTGTTGTTTAATGTTTATGAAAGGGGATATGAAGACCAGCTCAAGAAAGTCTTGAAAACTTTCCATCCAAAAAGTGCATTGAAGTTACTTTTTAAATTAGAATTAAAAACGGCAGGAGGGATAAAAATACACGTTCAAGAGTAGATAAAATCCCATATTTATAATTTAGAATGGAAATGCATCTAGATTTTTTCTATGAATACATGAAAAGAGCTTCCCCCCGACCCCCAGGCAAAAATTCTCAAAGAAAAGGAGAAAAACCTTATTTTGTGATCCTTTTGGAGAGAAATAACCCTTCAGGCTTGTGTGTCTAGTTCATAAGAACACACCAACTTTCGATAATCACTACATCTCTTTCCCATTGAAAAGTTCCTTTTCTCAATCTCCCTTAATTTAAAAATATAAATGCTGCTGTCGTCTGAAAAATGTATTTCTCACATGCAACAAATTTGGGTGCTGCACAGGTTCTTCTGGAGAGGAGGACTTTTTAAAGGTTAGCAAGCTTTGTTAAGATTTCAAAAGATATTTAGAAATTATTTGACCCACTAGGAATAACTCCTCACTAATGTCAGCCTATCCTTTGAAATTTTGATAAGGCAATTTGTTTCCTGCCATGATATAAACTTATTCCTTAAGACTATATTCTGACTATCTAATTCAGGATATATAGACTTCCTAGCAACTAGAGAAAATCAGTATATTCTGAACAACATAGACAACTAAAGATTTCCAGCTTTCTAGGTAAGTATTCCGGAGGCAATCAAGATTTGTTGTTTCTTGTAAATTGCTTGATCAAGAAATACGAATTATCTTGCAGAAATGATCTTTCTGGCTAATCTGGTCCAATGTTTTCTCAAAAAATATTTTGTTCAAAAAGTGCCTTTGTGGTTTTGGTAGTGAACAGAGAGCAGAATAAGTATAGCTTCCATTATTTGTACTTAGAAAATAGCATGATGTTTTAAATTAAAGGGCTTTTGCTGATGCCATGTTCAGTGAAAACTTGTTTTCAATAAAATCACTTTATTGACAGGGCCTGCTCTCCCCCTCTCCTGACAACTATGCTATCTTATCCTATCCCATCTATTATTTATTTAGTATATATTAAAGAGCTAAGTAGTTCTCCCAAAACTTGAAATGAATGGGAAAACAATGGAAAACAGGAGGAGGAGTGTTGCTTTCATAGTTACAAAGCAAAGACAGAGGAGGGGTGTTGGTATATGGAGCCAGTGTCTAACTAATTCGATGTCATGAATGACCCTTCAGTATGATTATTCAAGTTACAACTTCAACTGTTGATGCAGAAGTTGCAGAAGAGGAAGTTGATGAATTTTAGGATTAATTAAATTGACAGAACATACAAGCAAGAAGTGTTGATAGTGTTTGGAGGCTAGAATATTAAAGCTGGGAATCATAAGAAGAAGAACATAATTGGACTCTATGGCCAAAAAACAGGAGTGCAGCAGGAAAATAGTTTATCAATATTCTACCAGATGGAGATACAGAAATCAAATTATATTACTGATACAAGAAGGTAGAATAGCTCAGTTATAAAAGCAACAGCATTCGGGTCAGGAATGGACTGTAGAACAGAGTACAAACTGGATGAATGTGAAAAAGATTGCCAAAGAACAAAAGCAAGAAAACTAACTAAATGCCACAACCAACAGTAGAATTTGTCTAGAAGCCAAAGCTGAGAATGACGTTTCACTTCTCTGAAGCTGAAGAAGCTTCTTGGATGAAAGAGAAACATCTTCAAAGAAAAAACAGAAAGTCCATTTGCCTCTTGCAGAAGCACAACCATGACCTGGATGACTGATAATCTCCATAGACATCAAACAAAGATGAAACGTGTATACTGAAATTCTGTACAATAGACAGGGCAACATCCAACACTTAAGATGTTTATTTAAAAAATTAGTAGTAGGAAATGAAATTATATCAGTACTTCAGATTCCAGGATGTTGCTATACCTCAAAGAACAGGATCATACGGGCAATGGTTTTCCCAGAAGTTAAAGTTGGACTTTGAAGAAGTAGGAAGATTATTAATCCCTTTGAACATTGATGTTGGAAAAGTCTCTTGAGACTAGCCAAGAATACACAAACAAATGAATAGAAGAAACCAGAGTTTTTATTCAAGAAACAAATTGTTGTATTTTGGACACTATGAAAGTGAAAGTTGGATTTTGAAGAAGCAGGATAGTAACATTATTAACCACTTTGAATATTGGTGTTGCAGAAGACTCTTGAGAATAGCCAAGAAAACACAGTTTTAACTCTAGGAAAAAATGACCAGATTCAAATTAACATATTTTGAATTTATATATGAAGACCTAGCTCCCGTTTAAAATCCCTAGTGTTGCAAAAAGTGGAAGGAATACACCAGGGGTCTTCAAACTTGACAGCTTTAAGACTTGTGGACTTCAACTCCCAGAATTCCTCCTCCAGTCATGTTAGCTCAGGAATTCTGGGAGTTGGTCCACAAGTCTTTTTTAATAAAAGTTTTATTTAAGTTTTCACAAAACATACAAATACAAATAAAATACCTTTTTTTGAGAATAGCGTGCCCCTGGGTTATCACTTCTCCATACAGACATAAACTCAATACATATTTATCTTATACATTCTAATCCATATCTTATAACTATTTTCGCAATTTTTTCAATAGCTTTTCCCTTTCTTTACTTCCTATAGCCTTATTTTAAATTATCCCATTCCTTTCTTAATTCAATTACATATCTTTTTCTAATTTTTAAAATCTTTCTAATCAATGTTTTTATGCTTTCATCTGTCCTGTTTTTCATATTATCTTTTCTCATAAAACAAATTTTCCCCTGTAATTACTAGACTGGAGTGTAATACCTTTGTATCTTTTTTCAAATCTTGTTTAAAAATTTAAATTACACCTTTACAGTTATTACATTCATTTTCTAACCTCTATTTTATAACACATACCTATTTTCAATTGAATTCTGCTTGGTACATTCCCTTAAAAATACACACTAAATTCTTAAAAGAAAAAAGTATATATGTATATATATATATCTGTGTATATATGTATAACAATAGTAAATGGAATAATTATTCAAGTACAGGTCTGCCATTAATATTAATAACCATCTTTTACATTTCTATTTCTTTTAACAAACATTACCTAGTAATATCAGTTGTCTTTCACTTTAATCATCTATATTTCATATTTTATTTATGACTGTCTTTAAATTAAAAAAACCAAACAATAGTTATTAACAGTAGTCAATAGTTATTCAAGTTCATCTTGTCAACTGATAAAAATCTTCCATGTTTCTTTTCAGTTTTTTTTTTAAAATTTATTTTTAAATCATTGAGAGCCTTATTCTCTTAATAATCCAATAATCCAAAACTGTTTCTTGCTTCTTTTCTCACTTTCTCTTTCCAGGGGCTTTGTTATCTTGTAACAAAGTTATAGCTACAATGTATCTTTTGCAAGCCTTGTTAAAATTCCACTATTGATTTTTTTTAAGTTCCAGGTGGTCTCCTCCATTTTCCAGATTCCATTCTCTTTTTTCCTTTTTCCCTCCGCTGCTTTCTTTCTATTTTTAAAGAAATAGGATAATAGGATA